ACATGTGTGTCAAGGACAGAAAGGCAGATGTGGCAGTGGAATGTGTCAAAGCAGTTTGGAGAGAAAAACAAAGTAAAAAAAAAAGAAGAAAACGATTAATCGATTATTAAATTAGTCATCGATTATTTTAATAATTGATTAGTTGTCGATTAATCATTGCAGCCCTAATAACTTCAAACCGTATTTATAAAAATACACAAACAAATCAAATAAATGCTTTTATTCTGAAAGGGGTAAACTTGGACAGAGCTATAACTCTGGTTTGGATTGGCTGATCTGCCAAAGATGATCCCACCTTTAAATTAAAGCAATTAAAAAAACCTAACAACAGGTTTGTTTCAGTCCCACCAGTCTTCAACTATGACAGAGTGGTTGTTAGTCACCTTAGCAGTTAGCATTAGCTTCCACTAATTTTATTTTATTTTTATCTGTTTAGCAATAGTGGAGCTAAGTTTCTACTTTAACAGATTAGTGGTTAGTGAACCTAACTTTTTCGTTAGCTGTGCCCACCACTGCTAATATGTGTTAAATGAAACAAGATATTTTTTAGATTTTGTTAATCAGCTTCATGAGGTAAGAATGATAGAGATTTATTATTGCCTCTTAATGTGATGCAGGTTTTATTCTCACACTTCTAAATCAAACTTTGGAATATTTTTTTTAATGTTTCATTTTTGTGATAGTGTGTCTGGAGCTTTTATGTTTTTTTATAATCTGGATGACTCCAGTATTAATTTACAATGTAGGGAAAGGTTTTGGCTATAAACACAACCATCATGGTGAAAGTGAAAGTTTGATTTATGATTATTAATTTGTCCCATTACTTTTGGTCCCTTAAAAAGTGGACGGCACAAATACAAACCGCTGTAAATCTTACACTTCACAATTACATATATACAGGTCCTTCTCAAACAATTAGTATATTGTGATAAAGTTCATTATTTTCTGTAATGTACTGATAAACATTAAACTTTCATATATTTTAGATTCATTGCACACCAACTGAAGTAGTTCA